AAGATACAGGAAGGTGATTAAATGTGCGCGCGACTGCCGCCATCAATCTTTCCTACGATTCTGTCGTCGGCGAATTCATCATTTGTGCGATTAATTCACGGAATTGATTGAGTTGAGACGCCGAGATTAATTATTCGGGTATTCTTAGTTTGCAAATGGGAAATATTATCCTCAGATTAGTGTTTCGCGCATCGTGCATCGATTATGTATCGAATTATACGGCCCGCGATAATAAAAAGGTGCACGATAATAAAAATACGCCGCAGTAAAAGTGTACGCGCGTAAATTATTTACAAAAACTAATGGTACCACTATGCAACAATATTTGCATTGATATTAACCCTTTGCGGTCCGTAATGCAGGATATTCAAGCCATTTGGGTAGGAATATTCGGCCGGTTTTCCAAACCGCAAAGGGATAATATTCATGATACATATACGTAGATATTTTTATAATTCATATTTTTACCTCGTGCACCCCATTATCAAATATTCGAAAAATGTAAATACCTCTCGCATCATTTATTTTCACATCGGCGGCCGAATGCATTCTTTAACCGTGCTCATATTACTGATCGTATATTAGTCGCCGATATCCCCATAAAAAAGGCAATAATTTAATAACAATAATGAAAACGTAACGCTCGCGATCGCCAGCGTATCGTTGTGTATGGGGACGTGATTCAGGGGGGAGGGGCAGAAACACCCACGACAGAAGCACGCTCTCCTCGTCTATTTCTTTCCGCTCGACGGATTCTCAAATTTTCACACTCCTCTCGGCCCCCGTAAATTACCATAATTTCTCAACCCTAAAAACGCACGCGCGAGCGGCGCGAGATCGCATGGAATTTCAAGTTCCACCCCGATTACGTCCATATCAGGGACGAGTCACAATTTACGGCGGCGCGGGAACGGGCGCATTTGCTTTCCATCGGCGTACAGGGGAGGGCACACTTTTCACACCCTCGCTCGAAACACCATAAAGCACCCGACGAGGCGGGAAGGTCGAGCGAAGTCAAGTTGGGTTCGGTTAGGTTAGGTTAGCGTCGTGAATGACGGAGGAGGGTCGCATTTCGCCCCGATAAAGTTTGTTCGATCGGCCGTTAGTCTCCTTCTTATGGCCCCGCGCGCGCCCCTTCGCCGCGGCAACCCTTAAAGCTGCGTGCACAATGAAGCGCACGGGAGCAGCAGACATTTCGCGATTTCTCGACGAGAGAACTCGTCGGGAGAACAATCGACGACAAAGGAGCAATTGTAACTTGATTTCCCGACTACCGCCGCGCCCGCTGGAGAGCTCAGCTCTCTTTAATTATTCTGCCCGTTAACATTTCATTCTCACACTGTTTGCTTTGTTTTCCCACATACCTAGCTGAAAAAATAAGTAAATAAAAAACAACTCGAAAATATCTCGACGAATAATCGCCGCTGTTTATTCGCAGACGGGTAGTTCGCGCACGTAGCTACCCGTAGCTAACCGCGATCTCTAATATTTCAGCGACCCAGAACTACGCTCTCTACGAATCGACCCGCATTTTGAACGACCCAACGGGAATATCGTATTATCAGGACAGCCTGTGGCCACTTAAATCTCAGATATGTCGATATAGGTGCCGCAAACGGTTTGTGTGAACAGCGCGATTCGTAAAAGTACACGCTGCTGGAGTTATCGACTGACTGATCTACCCGACGATTAGTTGAGCCCCCCACGTTCAGGGTCTTGCGTTACCATGCCCAGCCTCTCGCTCAGTCTCCGGAGAAACACTCGTGTGAATCATCGATTTAAAAGTCATTGTCATTTAACAGAAAGAAAGACACGATGTATGTGTGTGTGTGTGTGTGTGTGTGTGTGTGTGTGTGTGTGTGTGTGTGTGTGTGAAGAGAGAAAAGATAGATAGAGGGACAGATAATTCACTCGACAGTCCAGGACTGCGATTACCCACCCCCGCGATGTGGAACCGGCATTACACACACACGCGCGGTTCGTGCCTTTTCCCGCGGACTCGGTGGGGCGGGCACGTTGCCGCCGGAAAGCGTGCAACGGCCGCGGACGAGCGTTTAACTTTGTTCCGAAGTTCTCCAAGGTCGTGCCGGCGCGCCGCGCCCGTTGTAGGTCGGTGCCACTGGAGTAAAGCGCGAGAGAGAATTTCCCGAGGCCGCGTCATAAATCTCTATCTGCTGCCGGGGGTAAACGCTCGCGGGATAGACTTCGGCGACGACTGTAATTTCGCGCCACCGGGGTGTTGTCTCTCTCTGTCTCTCTCTCTCTCTCCCTCTCCCCCTTTCCACGTGCGCGCGAACACGTGTGTATACGTGCATTCTTGTGTGGGTGGGTGGGTGGGTGGTCGGATGCGTATATATCTGTATCGAGGGCGATAAAAGATTTATCTGGCCCGTTTTCTTGTACACGAGCGCGGGGTAAAGGGGAAGAGACGGTTATTGCTTCGGCGTTTGCGGGGCGTTTCTCGGTAATAAATTTATTATCGATGTGTGGTGTAGCGGGGTGGTGCCGGTGGTGGTGCGAACGAGCAGGACTTTTTTTAGTTCATGAACTTTCGCGCGCTAATTTATTGGATGTTAAAACAGTCGCTCGCCGTAAGCAAGAGACTTCTCCCTCCCCTTCACTTTCGGCTGTTCACGACGGAGGGTGGAGGACGACGCGCGCGTCTTATGTGTGCCATTTCTTCCGCTTTTTCGCCTTTGGACGATAAGAAGGATTTTATCTCGCCTATAGCAGCGTTTCGCGACGTCCGAAATCGGCGCGTGCGAAATTTCTGTCTTTCACTCGCGTGTATCGCGTGAAACCTCCCCTTTTGGGAAGAGCGATCGGGGCGTCGAGCACGGAGAAAGACGTTTCAGTCAGCGCGACAGGGCGCGTAACGCGTAAAGGGGATTACGGAGTGACTCCGTGTAAATAATTTATCCGTAGTCGCAGCGGCAACTTGTGGACGGGCAATTATTTGTAGCGACGCGGCGGGGACAAAAGACGGACTCCGTAATCTAACTTTACATGGACAAAGTAGAAAGAACCGACCGGAGCCGGACCCAAACTGTTTAATCCCTTCCCGCCGTTACCTTTGTAACATTTGTCGCGTCGCCGAAGCGGCACTTAGCCGCTTCAAATTGCCGCGATAATGCGACACACGAAAACACAATTCGAAAACAAAAGTCGGCTGCAGGGGCGGGCTGGCGGGGAGAGTTACTCAACGAGCACTTACTCGCTCATCCGGGAACGACCGTAAAAACGATCGTCTGAATCTCCCCCCCCTTCGCGCGCGCGCGCGCGCGCGAAACGATCCGCGTAATCGCGCGCACGCGGAAAAGCAGCGCGCGAGTGTCTTTTAAGCGTCGCGTTTAAGCATCGTGTTTGCTTACGCGATACGAAATAAACGATCGCGCGCGCGTGCAAGCGCGTTTGCCAAGCATTCATACGTCAATATTTAGAACGAATTGTCGTCCGTACGATTTACCGCTGTTTGTACGCTATTTATGCGCGCTATTTATTATTTATACAATGGAAATTTGCGATTTGCGAGCGCTAATTGGCGCTCGTCGCCGCTGAAACATTCGAGCGGTCAACCGCTAATCGTTTGTGCATCTTGCACGAGATTAATTTATACCAGTATCTCGTATCTTCATGAAACGCGCGGAAACCCGCGCTCTCGCTCTCTCCGCCGTCCTCTCCTCTCCGATGCTCTTTCTGCCCGCGTCAATGAATTTAGCGTAAGAATGAGCAACGCGATTATACGCGATATCCTAAACTCCTCGTGCCATTTTGTCGCAAAGATGAATAAATTAGTAATAGCCCGATAGCATAATCGATACTTGGAAATGCTCCGGAGTCTGCCATTTCGCAAGAGTGACAGTAATTGAATGAATTATTTGATAAAGCGAATAAATCAGCGAAATTAAGTTTTCGTGTCGTCGCTTAAATTGAAAAGCTGGCCGTGCGCGCAAGACGCGATTAACGTGACAGAGAGAGAGAGAGACAGAGAGAGAGAGAGAGAGAGAGAGAGAGAGAGAGAGAGAGAGAGAGAGAGAGAGAGAGAGCGCAAAATATATACGCGCATATATTTCTCGAATGAAAATATACTGAAAATTCGTGTGTGTAACACGAGCGCGATGAGAAAAATTTGACGGCGATGATTTTAGCAAGCCGGGCGAAATGATACCCCCGGCGCGGATGGACCATCGACAATGGAAACAACAATGGTTGTCATTTCTATTACAATAGACACGCCACGCGCGCGCGCTTCTGTTCTAACAATTCCATTATCTCCGCGCGAAAGCGTCCCCCTTTATTATGCCTATCAGAAAATTTAGATCGTTTATTTAATGGGATATAAATATAGTCGAGCGCGGCCTATTAACAAAACACGGAGTATTTCGCGCGGAACAATGGCTTTGCGAAGTCATTTGGCCGTTCACGCGACGATTGCAATTATCGTTTCGTTATAATGGCCGCCGCAAGTAAGCGATTTAATGCTTAACGTTACGCAATTAAAATTAAAAATGGGATTCCGCGCTGGGTGATTCCGTTGGGAAAAAAATTTTTTTCGAAGCCGCTCGCAGGTGTGCACGTCGGCGATACGTGTAGTAGCTGCAAATGCGCGCGCCACTGATAATTCCATCCTTTGATTCTTCTACGATTAAAGCTATCGCAAGTCGTACTTGCGCGCGCGAGCGCGCACACGCTGCACACGTACGTACGTGTGTCTGCGCATGCGTGCGCGCGCGCGCGCGTGTATATACATAAAGAAGAAAAAAAAAGATATGAAAAATATCTTTTAAATTTAATAGCGTGCTTAATTAAAAAAATCTAATTATGCATGCGGATTTTAAATTACTGGAGCAGAATTGATTTAAAAATTCATGCTTCACCGTCCGCAGTAATGAAACGAAAATTATGAAATTTCGTTGTAATCGCAATGAAACGCGGCCATTGTGTGTGCTTACTAATAATTTATGCAATGACGTAATTATTCTCATTGTTCCTCTTTTCAGGGAAATGTCTACATCTAAGTGGTCTCACGCCCGAGCCATTGACAGCGGACGACGATTACAAACTCCTGCGCCTCGGCATCGGTTTTACAAATATGGTAGCACGCGCCACGAAAGGCAGCGCGGATCTCACGAGGAAGGAAATTAAGGAAGGTCAGTAGTCCCGAGTGCGAGTTTTCTTCTTTTTTCTTTTCTTCCGCTCGAATGTTACCGCGACGAAATTGTTACGAAATCTCGATCGAGAATCGACCGTTGGCACAGGTCGATCCGGACGAAATATCCGCGCGGGAATTGTTTACCCGTTTTTTCAATTCTATTAGCGTATCACACGATCACGATTTTTATATTTATCGCAGCGAACTCGCGGGTCGCTTCGCGGGTTGCTTCATGCCGATTCACGACACGAGAATCTTCATTCTCGGCGCACCTTTAGAGACGCTATTGACATTAGACGAATATTGCAATGGGAAATTACCTGACATCCACGAAATTGTTCTCCGCGAGAATGACACTATCCGCGCGGGGGATAAAAAATTCAATTCAAATCGCAGTTGTCAGGCGCAGACTAATCCGGTCTAGTCTTCTTTCCAGAGCGAGACTAGTGCTACGCTACTAGCCGCGGCAACAATACGCTGCGCTCTACCGACATAAGCGGCGGCACGAAAAACCGGTACACACGTCCCATAGACAACACGTTTGCCCCGTTAAAAATTGACAAAGCTCCCTTCACCGACTGCTGTGTGCGCCGGTCCCACGAGCGGTGATTCCACTCTGATAGGACGGAATCGCTCGGCGAGCACTCGCGGCAATCGCGCGCACATACGATAAACATAAGCGCGAAAGAGAGGAAGCAAACACACCTCCGAGGAGCGCGCGCGCGCGCGTTCGCACCGAAAAGAGATAGCGCGTCCTACGACACTGGCTCGACGGGCTGCTGGTTCCCCGCTAACTTCTCCGCGGCCTTATCTTCCGTATTCTAATTTTTCCGCGCCTTTAGCCGCGCTGGCCATTCGACTCGAGGGAGCTCGACTTCCGTCCGCGAGCCTCGATATTACGGCACTCGATATCGCGTTCTTCTAAGGAGCGCCTTTAGGTCGTTTTGCAATCCGCTTCGGAATCCCGTTTGTGAGGGGACACTCGAAAAATCGCGTCGGCTACTTTGAACCGCCTAAAGCAGGCTTAACTAACCGACGTTCGGGCGCCCCCGAGCTGCACCGCCGAGGCTGATCTTTAGACTTTACGTCTATCATGCCCCGTGGTGCTCGATCGCTGCTCTTCTACTTGGCGTGATGTGCATTCAACGATATACAGGGTGTCTGAACCAGATCCACGCAACAGTGGGGCGTGTCATTCTGAGTTTGAGGACTCTCGCCATTTCGCAAACAATCGCGTGAAATCTCGAGTTATTCACAAAAGAAGATTGGCACGTGAGCCGACCGAAAATGGCTGTATCCGACGAATCGAGGGACAACCGTCCACGTGCCGCTCGCATCATCGCTCCGCCCTTAGTTGCTGCTGGTCGGCAGCTATCGTCGTTAAGAGACAATCGCGCTTCTCAAGCATTTTCGGTCAGCTCTCGTCTGCAAAGCGCGTCTGCGGTGGCCTGATTCGCCTCGTCACCTTTTACGAATATAACTCGAAACTTCACGCGATTGTTTGCATACTGACGGAGCTCCTCGTACTCGGAATGACACGCTCCACCGTTCTACACGCTTACTGCGTGCTTTGCGTTTTCGGACACCCTGTATACGGCGAGTAAACGCGCTGCAGGATTCTAAGGCGAGAATAGAGAGGCGCGTCTCTCATGCCTTGACTATGAGCGCGCGTATGGTGGTGATGCGACTCGTTGCTAAGGCGCACGCGGTACCGCGCGCGAACGGACAGTCGACGAAACATTCGAAAATCGCTGCGTGAAACATGATCGACTCGGCGGGAAGCTGCTCCATAACGAGCATCTACTACTATGCGCGATCGTGTACTGTATCGGAGGAACAAGTGGGACCGCGAGGTGGTGCGCTCCAACGAAACGATGTTCTCTTTTTTTCTCTCTCTCTCTCTCTCTCTCTCACTCAGCAAGAACTTACGGGCGTTGTTGACTGTCCGATGCGTTAGCGACAGACGCGCTATTATTAATAGTAGAGTTTTGTTCAGTAAAGGTTATACGAATATAAATTGTGAATGTCTTCTCGAGTCCGGTGTCGCAAATTCTCTCTCTCTCTCTCTCTCTCTCTCTCTTTACGCGCTCGTGAGATAAACAATATATGCCTGGGACGCGAAGTAAGCGGAGCAAAATCGCGCAGGCGAGTGCAACAATGCAAAGAGGCGCAACAATGTTTATAACCTCGTACGCACCGGTCAATATATATAGAATCTCGCCGTTTCAGCGACTGTCGTCGTCCACGAGGCAGCGGGAGACGGAAGGGATATTATTTTAATTTGTGCCCTACTTGAGGATCTCCCCGACGGCGGCGGCGGCGGCGGCGGCAGCGATATTTATTGTTTGCCGAGTAGCCGCGCTCTTGTCGCGTGCGTTGCTACGACAAAATGAAAGACGCTACGTCGTCTCTCTTTCTCTCTCTCTCTCTCTCTCTTTCTCTCTCTCTCTCTCCTCTCTCTCTCTCTCTCTCTCCCCCGGCGAGACCGAGCAAAACAAACATTGGCCCACGCCATATCGCTCCGAAAAAGAAGTCTGTCGACGCCATTTCTGTTATAATTCGTCTTTGTTGCACGCACGTATAGTCGGCTCGCACGTTCCTTCCGCCTCGTAGAGAGAGAGATGCTATGGGGAAAGAGCTCATCGATCGTGATCAGGTGTACACTTACGGTCGGGACGATCGTCGCTGGTCTGAGGCGAGGGATAGTTTTCCTTGGGCGCAGACAAAGTCCAGTCCATCCTGCTCGGGTCGTGCTCCGCCGCGTTTCACACTCGACGTGCACAACACTCTTACCTTTCTTATGCTCCAACTCCCGAGATTTTTAACGACCGACCACTCGCACACCGCGGACATGTGTGCACGCAACGCGGGAACGCAACAGTGCTGCCAACTTACCGACTGTCAGCGTTCTCAAAGGCATCTCGTTGCAGCACGCAGCGAGAGATAGCTGCCGAAAGTTGTGCGGCCCCCGCCCCGCCCCTTCCCCCTCTCCCCTCTGCCTGAAAATGTCGCCCTGCGACGATTTCGATTATCGATAGTTCCGCGGCAATCTCGAGCGATCGATTCTGTCGCGGAGAGATTTGGAAATTGAAGAATATCCGCGCGCGATCGCGACAGGGATTTATTTGAGGATCGTGACTTGCGAATGATGCCAATCTCGCCGCTGGATCGCTCAAATTGCGAAAGGAAGAAAAGTCTCGTGTTTTTACGAGACACACTTCCTTTTCATTAATTCCGCCGTTTCACTGCGACGTTGCGACGTTGCGACGCAAAACATGTATTTTGTTAATGTTAATATAATATCCGGAGCACTTTTTACCGCTACTAATGTAGCCGGTGTCCTTCTGAGATTGATGCCCGATAAAATTAACGTGAGACCGGGAATACTCTCAAACGCGGAATGGCGGAGCAGCGGCGTCGGACACTTCGCTCTCTCTCTCTCTCTCTCTCCCTCTCCCCCCCTCTCTCTCTCTCTCTCTCTCTCTCTCTCTCTCTCTCTCTCTCTCTCTCTCTCTCTCTCTCTCACCGCTTCAAATGAAATTAGTGTGCTGGTAAGGCGGCGACATTTAAGGCTTTCGTCGATACATTTAATTGCTACATCCGTCGATGCGCGTATAACCGTTTGGAAAACGCAATAAATTTAACGCGACGAAGCTAGTAGACGATCGCGCAATCGATGCGCCGTGGATAACGAGAGACTGGAGACATGAATATTTTCACGCAAAACGTGTCTCCCGCGCGCGCGCTTGTCTGCGTTTCTTCGTTGATCGGCGGCTCCGCGAACAATTTTAGCGATGATAAAAGGGAGCAATGTGTCTTACCGTTATTTTTATTCGCAGGTAGCCACATTCTGCTGGAAAAGTTACGAAAGTATAAGCCAAAAATTGCCGTGTTCAACGGCAAACTCATATACGAGGTGTTTTCGGGGAAGAAGGAGTTTGGATTCGGAAGACAGCCAAACCTCGTGGACGGCACAAATACGGTAAAACAATAAACATTCTACATCGTCCACGCGTTAACGTTCGATAAACGGTTCTCGCTGAAAGGTTCACGCGGTTTGCGAATGCCCTTGAATTGAATCTCACGACTCGCGCTCGTCGATGGCGTACGAGCCATGTTCTTCTCACCCTCTGATGTTTCGTTGCAGTACATGTGGGTGATGCCTTCAAGCAGCGCGAGGTGTGCCCAGTTACCACGGGCTGCCGACAAGGTGCCGTACTATGCGGCCCTGAAGAAGTTCCGTGACTATCTGAACGGCACGATCACGCATCTGGACGAGTCGGACATCGTCTTCGCCGACTCGAAGCTCAAGAAGAAGGATCAGGAGCCGATCGAGGACAAGAAGCCGGTGTTCAACGACGACTTGGCCGACGGCGAGGGCCGCATCACGGAGATCAACGGCGCTGGGGTGAAGCAAGAGTCGGGTGTGCAGATACCTGGCAAGAAGAAGCGAGGTAGACCGAAGAAGATAAAGAATCCCGAAGATCAGCCGCCGCCGGATCCCGAAAAGCTGGACGCGAACGGCGAGGTCATCAAGAAACGCCGCGGCCGCCCGAAGAAGATACACCAGCAGCAGAAGCAGCTGGAGCGGGAGAACCGTGAGCGAGAGCAGCAGCAACAGCAGCAGCAGCATCAGGCGATGGGCCATCTGAGCGATGGCTACGGTAACGCCGTGCCGAATTGCTTCTCACCGCCGTTGATGTCGCCGCCGAAGACGTTCCCGCACATGGCACCGTATCCGCAGCCGATGAACGACTCCGGCTTCTTCGGTCAGAGTATGCAAGACAGCAGCCCGTACAACATGAGTGCGAAGCAGAGCCCGGTGCACCTGCACCAGCACTACAGCCAGAGCCCCAAGTCCATGTCGCTGTCGTTCACGCACTCGGACCTGTCGTCGGAGATCAACACCGCGATCTCGTCGGAGAACAACCTGGAGCCGTCACCGCTCACGTCGCCCAGTGTGGAGCACCCGGACTTTGAGCCACCCACCAGCATGTCGCAGCAGAACATGGCCAACGACCATCGCCAGTACAATCCTGCCGGCCCGGGACCAGACCCTACCGCCACCGGGCATCACGGCAGCCCTGGAACACCCTCCCATAACAGCTACGCCAATTACATGGGCTACCACGACCAGACGCCGGAGGCGCACAATCCGCATCCTCATCAGACGACGTCGACGCCGCTTAGCCAGACCGCCGAGGACCACTCCCATCACTCCCATCCGACACCGCCGCACACACACCCGCACACGCCTACCCATGTGGCCTCCATGTCGCCACATCACCATCCGCACGAGCAGTACGGCATCAAGAGGAACTCCGCTCAAGACGTGGCGTCCAAGAGCCTCAGTGATCTGGAGTCCCTTGTGGACCAGATCCCGAGCATAGCCGATGGCGGCGGCGGTAGTCAAC